ATTTTTGGTGCTTAAATTTGGGCACGTGCCTTTCCCCCCCTTGTTTACATGTATTGCTGTGCCACTGCGTTTCATCTTGTATCCTAAGAAGAGAGCATTTGAATATTCACAGGGCAGACAGAGGGGTGTTTCCTCCCCAGCCTGCCTTGGGTAAAGTCCCACGTCAGCCTCCATAATTTCCCGGGTGGCGCGCACGAACCGAAATGGCAGCAGACGGCTTCGTCAGCTCCTCGCGGCTGCAGCTTTAAGTCTCTCCGCCTACCTGTCCTTAACCTTCCAGGTGTTTGTTTAATAAGGCTGGCCCGGCAAATCGATATCACCGATATCACACTGGCAGACCTTGAGTGGCTGAAGTCTCGGGCGTGTGTGCTTGGTGCGCGAGTAGAACACCAGCCGGCTCTGCCAGCTGTCAGAGAAGCACTATTTGGGGTCCAGCACCTCCCTCCTGTGGAGCTGCGGTGGCTCAAGTGGTTAAGACGCTGAACTGCAGGCTGTGGAAGGTCGGTAGTTCAGCAGTTCAAGACCCGGGTGCCACATGACGGAGTGAGCTCCCGTCTCTGGTTCCAGCTCCTGCCAACCTAGCAGTTTGAAAGCAAGAAATTGCAAGTAGATAAATAGGTACCACTTCAGTAGGAAGGTAACAGCGTTCCGTGCACCTTGGTGTTTAGTCATACCGGCCACATGACCACGGAAATGTCTTCAGACAGTGCTGTCTCTTCGGCTTTGAAAAGGAGATGAGCACCGCAACCCTAGAGTCGGATTCGACTGGCTTTTGTGCAAGGGAACCTTTACCTTTACTTTCCTCCTCCCTAGACGGCGGACTCTTTTGGAAAGGTGGCATTGGGATGCACTCCAGGAAAAGCCGCTTGCGTAGCTTCCCTCTGGGGTGTGTCTATGACTGCAGTTCCCTTGTGGATCCGCACTGATGTCTCTGGGTTCGCTCTGGCTAGCGATTATATGGTCTTCTCAAGAAGTACGTTTCTCGAGTGCCGAAACGGTGCCCTTCTGCTTTCTGAGCTAACTAAGTCTTCTGCGTCCTGTGAACTGTTTGCCTCTATCTCAGGGGTCTTGTTGCCTCCCCTCTCAGGAGTCCCCAAGGGCACCTTTGAGATGATGGCAGCTGAGACAAAAATGGGTGAGCCAGAGGCTAAACTGTCAGCTAGCTCACACTAACTCAGCTTAGAGGGAACACTGCTTGGGAGAGTCTCACCGAATAAGCCACCTCCTCCTCCAGTGGGGAAAAAGCACTCTCCTTGCACGGCACGTTTGCCTCCTATGGAGGGTGTGCTGGGGTGACCACATGACAGACCTACCGCCTTAGCCAGTTTGGTGTAGTGGTTAAGAGCGGCAGGACTCTAATCTGGGAGAACCGGGTTTGATTCCCCACTAGGGATGTGCGTTCAGTTCATCCGAACCGGATGCACCCCCAAAAACGGCCCATTCGGACCTCTTTCGGGCTGCTGCTGGCTGATTCAGATTCTCTGATCTGAATCGTCTTGCTGCCAAATTCAGCCCCATTATATCCTATGGGCCATTGAAGTCAATGGCGAAAACATAGTGTATATTCTGGGGGCTGGAGGGGGTTTAAGGGAGAGGCTCCAGACCCCCAGGGTAGCTGCTGGAGCCTCTCCCCAAGATACCAACCAAGTTTGAAGAACATTGGACCAGGGGGTCCAATTCTACGGGCCCCCAAACAGGTTGCCCCTATCTCCTCCATTGTTCTCTATGGTGGGAAAAAAGTAACTTCCCCCCCCACCATAGAGAACAATGGAGGGGATAGGGGCAACCTGTTTGGGGGCCCGTAGAATTGGAGCCCCTGGTCCAATGTTCTTCAAACTTGGTTGATATCTTGTGGAGAGGCTCCAGCAGGTAACCTGCGAGTTTGGAGCCTCTCCCTCAAACCCCCTCCCCTCCAGCCCCCAGAATATACCCTATGTTTTTGCCATTGGATTCAATGGCCCATAGGATATAATGGGGCTGAAACTGACTTTCGCTGGCTGAAAGACTCCTGAATGGGCTCCTACTGCCGAAATTGACATGCAGGCGTCTTTATGCCTGTCGATTGATTCTGCTCGATTCCGCCGAATCTGAATTGGGCCAATTTTTCCTTATTTTTCTTTTCTTTTTGCACACCCCTATTCCCCACTCTTCCACATGCAGCTGCTGGTGTGACCTTGGGTCAGTCACGGCTTAGAGGGGAAGGGAAAGGAGATTGGAAGCCGCTCTGAGACTCCGAGTGAAGGGCGGGGTATAAATCCAATCTCCTCCTCCAGCAATTCCCCATGTCAAAAGTGTTCGGACTCAGGCTTGCAGATGGGCTTGAACTACTTAGCCATAGGCACCCGGGAAGGGGGGGGGGCATTGCATTGTCTGTCCTTACTAGCCAGTGGGAATGCTTTATATGGGGGCAGGGACATTGTGTGATCCTCTTGTCCTTCTTGCTTCAGGCACCCGTTGCCCAGAGCCATTGCAACCTGCTTGCTAAGTTCCCACCAGTTTGGTATTTTTGTATGTTTGTGTGCATGCGCACACACCTGGAAGTCATGGCGACCTATGGTGAGTGACTGACCCTTGCTGGAGGCCTGGAGGATATTCAGAGAGGTGGCTGAATAAGGCCTGCCCCTGTCTTCCCGACTTGGTATTCCAAGGAGGTCTCCCATCCAAGTACTAACCGTAGCCGACCCTGCTTAGCTTCCAAGAGCTGACGAGATCGGGCTTGCCTTGGGATGTCCAGGTTAGGGTAGCTCCCAGCATTTTTAAGAGCCCCCCGTCTCGGTGTCCGCCCTCTGGTGCTGTGGCCCACTTCTACTTTTGACGTCCCCCTGAGCCCAAGGATCTCGGGAGTACAGATTAACTGACCACGTGGTGGTTTGTCTCCTCTTTGGAAAACCAGCCCTGACGAAACTGACGTGTTCTTCCCTTTTTGGGTTCTGGAAGGCAGGGGTGGTGGAAAGTGTGGTCAAGGTGCAGCTGACTTTGGTGGAGTGGCGTAGAGCCAGTTTGGTGGAGTGGTTAAGAGCACGGACTCTAATCTGGGAGAACCGGGTTTGATTCATCACTCCTCCACATGCAGCTGCTGGATGACCTTGGGCAAGCCATAGTTCCGTCACAGCTATTCTCTCAAGGGCAGTTCTCGAAAGAGCTCTCTCAGCCCCACCTACCTCACAGGGTGTCCGTTGTGGGGAGGGGGAGGGGAAGGACATTGTAAGCCGCTCAGAGACTCCCAGTGAAGGGTGGGGTATAAATCCAATCTCTTCCTTCTCTTCTCCTTCAAATTTAATATTGATTCCCCACTCCTCCACACGCAGCTGCCGGTGTGACCTTGGGTCAGTCACAAGTTCTCTCAGAGCTGTTCTCTCAGGAGCAGTTCTCGAAAGAGCTCTCTCAGCCCCGCCTACCTCGCAGGGTGTCTGTTGTGGGAAGGGGAGGGGAAAGGAGATCGTAAGCAGCTCTGAGACTCCTTCAGGTAGTGCAGGGTGGGGTATAAATCCAATCTCCTCCTCCTCTTCTGGCGATCCCATGGGTTTTTCAAGGCAAGAGGCATTTAGATGTGGTTTGCCATGGCCTGCCTCTGCATAGCAGTCTTGGGCTTCTTGGGGGGGGGGGTCTCCCATCCAAAGACTAACCAAGGCTGACCTTGCTTAGCTTCTGAGACCTGATGAGCTCGGTCTGCCCTGGGTCATTCAGTTCAGGGCAGAAAAAATACAGGATAATGCTGCATTCTTTCTGCTCCTCCGTGCTGTCTTCATACTAGACCTGAGCGAATCTCCACCATTTTTCTACACTGCTAAATATCCCCGTCTCTCGCCTTGAAACCCCACAGCCCTGGGGTTGCCAGGATTCAGTTGTGACTTGACAACACACCTGATTTACTGTTTTAAGTATCCTCATATGGAGGTGTGGTGAGAGAACCCTAGGGAAGGGGGTCTGCCTAGGGTTAAGAGCTCTGGGTTGAGAAATTCCTGTAAATTCGGGAGTGAGCCTGTGGATGGCAGGGTTGGGGTAAGGAGGGGAGTGGGGAGGGACCTCACCAGGTTACAGTGCCAGAGAGTCCGCCCTCCAAAGCAGCCATTTTTTCCGGGGGAAGAGTTCCCTGTTGTCTGCAGATCAAGTGTGCTAGCAGGAGATCTCCAGGCCCCGCCTGGGGATTGGCAGCCCTAGATCTGCCTCACACGTGCTTCGGTCCTTGAGCAGCGTCGTTGAGGGAACGTTGAGAAATGGCAGCAGCTATTTATTTTGCGGCGTCGCATTTGCAAGGAGTGTGATGGTCATTGCCGGTTTCCGCCCGGGTCGCCGCTATTCCCACTTTCCAGATCGGGAACTGAGGCCCGTGAGTGAGTTAAGCCGGCGCCTGTGGGTCCATCTGCAAGTCGAGAAACGGCTCGATCCCAAGACTTCCCAATTCCCCCTCCCCATGTGGGCCGGGACCCTAGATCTTTTTTGTTGGGCACCTTTGAACCTTCCCCCACCGCCAAGGGCCTTTGGACTTCATTTCTCAAGTTGCCTTCTCTCTCTCTCTCTCTCTCAACACTTTGCTGATTTTTCCCTCGACCCTCCCTCCAGTTCGTTGTTTGTACAGTTGTGGAGGGGCGGGCTGTGAGCCCCCTCCTCAGTCCTCCACTCCTGCCTTTGGGGGCAGGGTGCGGCAGGTTAGGGAGAGGAAGGAAGCTGCACCTCACAGGTGCCGGCGCCGCGAGCCGATGCCACGTCCGGGCTCCTGCCACCCCGTGGTGTGCCCGCTGGCCGCTCTGGTAGCACAGGTGGGGCGTCTGGTTCTTGGGCCCTGCTAAGAGGAGGAGAGTGGCCGGGCCGGGAGTGTGTCTGCCTGCCTCCCCCCCCTCCTTCCCAGGCAGCGGGAGTGACTCAGCCATGTAGGCGTGGGATTTTCTCCGACCGGTTTGGGCAGTCCTCAGGGCCACGGCTGTGAATGTGGGTGGGGTTTGGGGTGCTCCCTGGTTCTCTTCTCTCTCTCTCCCTCTCTCTCTCCCTCTCTCGTCTCTCTCTCTGTCTCAGTGTCTCTGCAGTGCAGCAGACTCTGCGATCTGATACCACCGGCAGCTCCCGGCACTCATGTTCCTGGCCTTCTCCGGGTGGGGGTGGGGGACCGTCCCCTGCCTTGCCCATGTTTGGCAAGCCCGACCCTCCCTGCCGCGCACCAGCAGGTTTGCAGGCTGACAGTTCTGTCTCCCCCTCCCCCCGCCACCCGAAATCATTTTCTCAAAGTCCGTCAAATGAAGAGTCTCGGCTGTTTTTGCAAAGCGGGCCTGGCCTTTTCCGACTTAGGGGTGAGTCTTTTTTTTGTTTTCTGTGTGCGCGCCGGGGAGAGCAGGCCATGTCTCGGGGTGTGTGTGTGGATAAGGGGGTGCTCTTCCCCTTAAAGAACAGGACTTGTTCTGATTGTGGTTTGGGGGTTCGGAGTGGGGAATTCCACAGCCCCCCTCCTCCTTAGTGCTGCGTTAAAGAGATGGTGGCCGGGATTGGATCTGTGGGGGTGGGGGAGACTCGGCCCGGGGAGGGCGGAGTGTTTAACCGGCAGCCGGAGAGCAGAGTCTTATTGGGGCAGGAAAAACCAGACCCCCCCCCCCCCCGCCGGTGGACCGAGCATGATTCACGTATTACCATTTATAGAGGCCAACCCACACGGGAAACTGCCGGGCCAGTTCACATGTTCGCGGACCCCGCCCCTATTAATCTTCCACTTCACCTGGGACTCCGGGCACTGGTTTTCTGAGCTGACCCCTAAACCCTCCCCCCCATGCAAAGAACTATCTTGCGGACTGGCCCCGTGGCGTCTTGGTTTTCGTTTCCAGAGTGGTTTGGGGGACGGGGAAGGGGCTGTCAAGAGCCTTGACCTCACAGCACCCAGGCCTTGAATGCTCTTTGTAGTTCTTGGGTATCTTTCCCTGTTAAGTGTCTGGACGCTTTGTGGCCTCTCCCCCCCTTTAACGGCAGGGAGCCTCCACGGCTGGGCGGGTCCGAGTGGGCCCACCCCGTGGTCTCATGCAGTTAAATCGGCATTCTTGAGAAAAACTTCCCCACTTCTTTATGGGCATTCTATGCTCTTCCTTCTCTCTCTCTCCCCCTCCCCAAGTCTCCCTAGCCCGAAGAAATGCTGATGGCAGAGGGAGCCCCAGGGTCAGGTTACAGCAGGGCTTAAGGTCTGTTTGGGTCCCGGGGGCGAGGAGGGGCTTTCCCCCCACCGCCCCCTTCTCCCCCCCTTACTGTGTTGTTTGGAGCTCCAGTGGCCCCCCCCCAACCAATGTCTTAAATTGCTGTTTACTGCCTGGCGTCTTGGCAGCACATTCCCCTGGCCTTTGCTCCATACGGAGGGTGGGGGGCGGACTTCGGCTGGCCCTTGCGAGACCGAGGCCTGTAAGACTTCCAGGAGGCGGTCGGCATTTCTTTGCTGCACTCCAGAAAAATCCGAAGATGCATGTATTGGGGGGGGGGCAAAACCCATGCGGGAGGCGGTTTCATCTGCCGGAATGTGCCGCCCAGACAAGCAGTTCCTTTGTTCCCCTTTTGACTCTCGCCTAGGTGCGTTCTGCTCCCTTTCCTCAGAGCAGGGCCTGGCAACGTCCAGGCCGGAGCCGGCTGCCCGGGCTCCTCCCGCCTGCCTGTTCCAGGAAGCCAAGCCGGTACGCTTCCTGCCTGCAGACAAGGGAGGAGTTCCCCATTTATTCCCTCGCCAGCCTCATGCAGCGCTGGAGGACGGGGAGGACGTGTGAGCTGGCGGGGTGGATTGAGAAGGGTGTCAGGATGGGAGGGAGGGCGGGCTAGGTCGGAGCCCTCGCTGAGTCCCGATGCGCCCTGGGAGAAGACAGGAAGCCGCTTGTCATAATCTGTCTTCTCATTTACGCTCTGGGGGGAAGAGGAAGGGGGTACCCTGCCCCACCTGTATCACGGGCATACTGGCCAACACCTTGCAGGAGTTGAGAGGGAATAGATTAGGGGCAGTGTTCCCTCCAAGCTGAGTGAGTGTGAGCAAGGTCACACGTTTTCTAGCCTCCGGCTCACACATTTTTGTCTCCGCTCAGGGAGGACGGGGCTCCAGAGCAAACTCATTGATGCGGCAGCCAAATCGCTCGCTCACGACTTTCGTGCCAATAGCTCACAAAGCAGAATTTTTGTCCAGACGCCACAGCTTAGAGGGAGCATTGGTTAGGGGTCCACTTAGAAACTTCTGCTGTGGCCTCAGGTGGGGCAACTGTTGTTTTCTCAGGCACATATGAACACCCAAGCCGCTTTATACGGAATCAGACCCTTGGTGCTCTCCAGGGCCACAACTGGGGGTCTTTTTGCTCCACCTGATCCTGTTTAGCTGGAGATGGTGAGGATCGAACCGGGGACCCTCTGGATATGCCAAGTGGCTGCTGTACCACTGAGCCACTGCAGACAAATCAGGCGGAGACGTGTGTGATGCCTCCGTAAGTGTACCCCGAGTCCCTAAAGACCTCGTTCAGGCCTCTCCGGCTTAGATTAGGCAATGGTGGCATTTCTGGGAAATGATAGGCAACTTGGGAAATGCCAGTGATGTGGGTTTTCCGGGGAAGTGTTCCAGTTCATCTGTGAATCCGTTCGTTTATTATTTCGTTCGACTCTCCCCCGCAAGCAGACTCCAGGCGGGTCGCGACATTCTTAAAGCCATACAAAATTTAAACAGAGTTGAATAATTGAAACAGAGTTAAGTGAATTAGTAGGTTAAGTAATTTCAGGGGAAAGTTAGCAAAAGAAGGCAAATCCACCACGTACGAACACCAGGAGGTGTCCAATGTTCCCTCTAAGCTGCGGAACCTTGTGAGCAAAAATTCCACTTTGTGAGCTCCTGGCATTAAAGTTGTGAGCGAGCAGTTCGGCGACTGCATCAACTAGCTTGCTCTGGAGCCCTCCTTCCCGAGCTAAGGCAAAAACCTGTGAGCCGGAGGCTAAAGAACTGTGAGCTAGCTCACACTAACTCAGCTTAGAGGGAAACACTGGAGGTGTCCATGCGCCATATCCCACATAGGGTCCAGTATACATTAATAGTGAATTGCTGGCAGTTAACACACACACACACACACACACACACACACAAAATGATTTATTTTGCAGCACAGCAGCCTTGACAGCCGTTGATAAACAGTCTATGTTTACATGTGCAGGGTGGAAAACTTTGCACATGAATTTTTACATGGAAAGATTTCTGCCCCGCATCACTGGATAAGCGCTAAAACGTATGCAGTACTTTCTTAGCAATCCTGAACTTATTTTGCTGCTCCAGCACCATAAAATGTATTCTTTATGATTTTAATTCCCCCCCCTTTACTTTGGTTGTAGCCTCCTTTCTCACAGGGATTACGGCGTATATAAAACAATTCAGTCAGACCACAAAGATGTCCAGTAGATAATGCGGTAGGGCTAGGATTATGTAAATGGGAAACGATCCTTAACGTATAATTTGTATCACAATATACCATATTTATAATACATCTTAGTATATAATATAGTACTGTTCCGCCTCTTGTGAAGCCTAGAAGTATAAATGCCTTGGTTTTCTACAAGCAGGATTGCCAGTATGTTCAATACAACTAATACAAAATAAACTAGGTAAATGGTTTCCCTTTCTCAAAAGCCAGTCGAATCCGACTCTAGGGGGCGGTGCTCATCTCCGTTTCCAAGCCAAAGAGCCAGCGCTGTCCGAAGACGTTTCCGTGGTCATGTGGCTGGCATGACTAAACGCCGAGGCGTACGGAACGCTGTTACCTTCCCACCAAAGCGGTACCTATTTATCTACTTGCAATTTCTTGCTTTCGAGCTGCTAGGTTGGCAGGAGCTGGGGCCAGAGATGGGAGCTCACTCCGTCATGCAGCACTCGGGTCTCGAACTGCCGAATGACAAACCTTCCTGCCAGCAGCTCAGCATGTTAACCTCTGAGCCACCGCAGCCCCTACAAACTACAAACCGCTTAACCCAGTATTTTAGTGTTTGTCATCTGAGAGGGTAAGACAAAACGGGAAACACCTATGTTGCAGTAATCAAAGAACAGTCTCATTTGGGCAGAAATAGTCAAGCTAGGACTAGCAGACTATTTGGACACAGGGTTAAATTTTAACAGGGAAAACATTGAACTTTTCCAGTAATGTATTATGCACTTGGTAGCATATTAATTGCAAACAAAACTAGTCCCGTTTAAGCAGTAAACATACCCTTGAAAATGTTGAGTGTTTGCATTATCCACCGAAATTACCATTATCCAGTATTGTAGATTGTCTTCAACAAAAACACGTTCCGCATTTTGAGTGAGTAAAATATTTCTTTAAAGCATTCCACTTACTCCAAGAGGAGAGGCAGTACATTGGACGGTGCTCTCGGGTTTCCCCCCCCCCCCCCCCCAGTTTCCCCCTAAATGCCCAGTTTTTCTACTGGATTGGGGGGGAGCCCGTAAGGAGCTGCACTGTGTTTGTTTCTCCCCTCCCTGGGTTTGGGTGTCGTCCCCCCAAGTGGCCTGGGGGGAAAACTGGATTCTCCCCACCACCCCTGGACTGTTCGGAGGATCATTAAAAGAGAAACATTTCTATGGTATATTTTCTCTTTGGAAAATGCGGAAGAGACGGGTTCCTAAAAAAGCCGTGTGTCTTATGGAAGCTGTTCTGCAGCATGAGATGATGACTCTCATATGTGCCCTGCAACATTTTCAAGGACTTGTTTGTTGTTGAAATAATGACTAATTTTGCCCACAATTGGTGAGACACGCCGTGCGTGTGACGGTGATGTGCTACACTGTGGAAAGAGGTCAAGAGTTTTCCGCGTCGGGTTTTAAGTCATTGTCCAAATCCGCTGACGGCCCCTTAATGACGTGACTTGATGAAACCCGGTTCCGTATCCAGATGCTGCTGCTTTTTTAGCTACGGAGTTCATTCATTATTGCTATTGTCACGGTTTACTTTTTCCTACTACACAGATGGCAAAACCTAAGAGAGATATCCTTAGGTAACAACGTGCAGTGATGTACAGCTCCATCTTTCTCTTTTGCCGTGACGTGGATATGGATGGCCCATGCTACCCGATCTCATCAGATCTTGGAAGCTAAGATGGCTCAGCCATGATTAGTACTTAGATGGGAGACCACCAAGAAATGTGGGGTTGTTATGCAGAGTCAAGTAATGACAACCCCCCCTCTGTCTGTCTCCTGCCTTGAAAACCCTGTGGATCTCTGAAGTGAAGCAGGTTTAGACCTGGTTGGTACTTGGGTGGGAGACTACCAAGGGTTGCCATAAGTCCTCCCCCCCCCCTCTCTCTCTCTCTCTCTCACACACACACACACACACACACACACACACACACACACACACCTTCCTATTCAGTACTTTGGCGGTTTGGCTCAAACAAAACTCTGAAATATTGTAAATATCCATGATTGTACTGCTCTCTATGGGGTCGCGGTGACTCAGAGGTTAAGACACTGAGCTGCAGACCGGAAGGTCTGTAGTTCGGCAGTTTGAGACTCAAGTGTGCCGCACGACGGAGTGAGCTCCCGTCTCTAGTTCCAGCTCCTGCCAACCTAGCAGTTCGAAAGCAAGAAATTGCAAGTAGATAAATAGGTACCACTTCCATGGGAAGGTAACAGCGTTCCGTGCGCCTTGGTGTTTAGTCATGCCCACGGAAACGTCCTCGGACAGCGCTGGCTCTTCGGCTTTGAAACGGAGATGAGCACCGCAACCCTAGAGTCGGATTCAACTGGCTTTCGAGAAAGGGAACCTTTACCTTACTGCTCTCTATGGGGTCGCAGTGGCTCAGAGGTTAAGACACTGAGCTGCGGACCGGAAGGTCTGTAGTTCGGCAGTTTGAGACCCGAGTGTGCCGCATGACGGAGTGAGCTCCCGTCTCTGGCCCCAGCTCCTGCCGACGGAACAGTTTGAAAGCAAGAAATTGCAAGTCAGTAAATAGGTACCACTTTGGTCTGAAGGGAACAGCGTCTAGTCACGCCAGCCACATGACCACGGTAACGTCTTCGGACAGCGCTGGCTCTTCGGCTTGGAGACGGAGATGAGCGCCGCCCTCTAGAGTCGGATTCGACTGGCTTTCGAGCAAAGGAAACCTTTCCCTTTCCCTTTACTGTTCTGTATATCCACCAAACCCGGACAATCCCTTTCATAAAATAAAATAAAGTTAGGCTCGATAAGGAGGTAGTAAATACTATGCGTTGCATCTTTCCCCCCAATTCTCTCCACCCAGTGGTTTTCCCATGGCTTCACAAATTCTGGAAATTGTACATATCTAGTACTGTGTGTATACAGGTATAGGATGCAGGAACGTTCAAGGGAGTTGTGGAGTGGCTGTCTGGGAATGAGTAAGTGGGCTTAGGGGGCGCTGTTGTGGTAGCCGCGACGTGCTTGCCTAGATTGACTTTTTAACTCGAATGAGTATCCCCTATATGACCTGCCTAGGTCAAACCTTCAGGCGTTACTGTTGGTCCCCTGCTGTATCCCGGTGGCTTCGGTTTTCGCAGTTCCATCTGTGCCCAGGACAGTTGGCACAGAGGCTGGATGACTGCCCAGAGATAGCCTGCGCTGCATTAGAACGTCTAGATTCGAATCCAGTACTACCGTAGAGCCCTGACCTGGATAGCCAGGGCTGGTCTTGGCCTGTGTTTGGATGGGAGACCTCCAAGGAATACTAGGGTGGTGATGTGGAGGCAGGCAGTGGCAGACAACCTCTGAAACGTTCCTTCCCTTGAAAACCCTACGGGATTGCCGTAAATCATCTGTGACTTGACGGGCAAAAAAAGAAAAGCACCTTAGAGACTAGCTAGATTTTTGGGTTTCGGGGGGTAGCTGTGCTGATCTGCAGTAATAAGCTTTCAAGAGTCAAACCTCCCTTCATCAGATACAAGTTGGATGAGACGTGATTCCCCCCTCCCCGTGACCTGCTGCTGGGTCTGGTCCGGGCTGTCTTCGAGGGAGATGTGGACCCCCCCCCCCCCGGTTTTGCCTTGTGTCGATTTCCTTCTGCCCATCCAGTCTGACGATGCCTCTCTCCCTCTTCCGTCCCGACAGATAGCAAGGGGATCCTTATGCAGCACCACGTGAGATGAACAAAACTCCACAGCCCTCAGGAGGAACCCCATCAGCCCCACACCCCTCCCCTTCTCCTGGACTTCCACAGGTAAGGACTCTAGACACCCCACCCTCGGCCGTCTCGCCTCCTCGCCCGGGGCTGTCGGCGAGCAACCCTCTGTCGTCCCTGCTGTGCTGCCGGGATTGCGGCCGGACGGTTTGGGGCTGCCGCCAAAGCTGTTAACCCTGCTCCCTTCTTGTTCCTTCTTCCCCCCCCCCTTCCCCCGCAGCAATCAGCGTTTCCTCCTGGCCAGCCGGCACCTGTGGTTTTTAACCCAGCGCAAGCTACCCAAATGAATACGCCTTCCCAGCCTCGACAGGTAAGGGGGGGGCGAGGTTGGGGCCTCTCCCGCCTTGCTCGTTCTCGGGCGGTGAGACTCTGAGCAGCAGCCGGGACTCCTCTGACGTGCCGCCAAACCGGTTCCTCCAGGGCTCCCGGGGCTGGAGGAGCCCTACAGGCTGACTCGGTCTGCAGGCGCCGCTGACTCAGGAACGCACCTGCGGCACGTGCCGGGCGGGGAGCATCGTTTTGGGGCGAGCGCGATGGAGCCAGACACGAAGGCAGAGAGAGCCGTGCCGGCTGAGGCCCCGTCCTCCGCTTCTGTCCCAGTTTGAAAGAGGGCAGGGCAAAGTGGGAGAAGTCCGCTCCGGGGGGGGGTCAGCCGGGGGGGTCCGCCACCGTCAGTGACGCTGTGCTCTTCTCTTCCTCTCCCTCCGCTCTTTCCTGTCTTAGTTTCCAGCAGGGCCTCGCGCTATACATCAGCAGGTACAAACTCCTCCTCCCCTCCCCTTCCCGCATGCTGGTGTGCGATAGTGGTGGTGGGGGGGCAGGCACGGAGGGGTTTTGCTGGGACGCTGCAGGGAAACTGGCCGAAGGGGCAGGGGGCAGAGGCTCGTCCCGACGCACGAGGTAGGGGGACACGAAGAGACGGTCCGGCGGAGCCGCAGAGAGGTTGGGCCGCGCCGCCAGCCCTCGCCCAGAGGCGGCCGCTTGGGCGGCGAGCCGTCACCTCTCATCCTCGGTCCCATCTTCCGCAGGGTTCCCTCTAAGCTGAGTTAGTGTGTGAGCCAGCTCACAGTTTTTCTAGCCTCTAGCTCAAACATTTTTTGTCTCCGCTCACGAATGGATGGCTTCAGAGCGAACGTAACGTATGCAGCGGCCAAATCACTCGCTCACGGCTTCAATGCCAGTAGCTCACCAAGGCGACCCATAAAAGCTGAGAAAGTTCAGGAAGGGGATCTTGCTTGTGGGGTTTCACGTCCCCCAGCTTTTTGAGGAGGGGAGTGAATCCTGTTCACACGGATGGGAGGCTGGATAGGCCAGGATCAGCAGACCTGTTGAGACTGTCCGGGGCGGGGCTGGATCCGGGTTAGGGGCAGTTTGACTGCAGTGTCCTTCGCACCGCCCCCTCCCCATCCCATGTGACTTGCATGCTTGACTCAGGATGGCCGCTTCTCTCTCTCTCTGTCTCTCTCTCTCTCATCCTTGGGCGTTGCTGCTTCTGCCTGTATTCCCTTCCCTTGTCGTAACCCAGCCGTCCCGCCTTCCCCGCCGTGTCTCCCTCGCCCACGAAACGAACCTTCGGCGCCCAGCATCTGGTCTCGGTGCCATTTCAGAGCGTCGGCCAATCTCTCCCCCACCAGCAGCGCAGGAGACCCATTGGCCACCGCCCCTCGGAGAGGGCAGGCTGTCGTTCTCGGGGTCTCTGTTACCACAGGAGGGGCTTTTCCCCCCGGCACCCTCTTAAACGAGGGTGGCACCTGTGCCTTTGCTGTGCCAGGCCGTGAAGGGTGATCGGGAGGGCTGGCGTGGCCAGGCCTGGAAGGGAGAGGGCTCAAAGGGGTGGTTGTAGTCTGGGTCCCCGGGAACATCGGTTGGGGTTCAGCTGGACGAGATCCGGTTAGAGGTTCAGCTGGCTCCACCTTGCAGCTCGATGCTTCCTGTCGGTCCTGCTTTGGAGGTGCCTCATAAACCCCTGAGTATGTCTTTTGGATGAATTTTGGAAGGATGCAGCTTCCTTCCTGTGTGAAGTTGAGCTCTCATTCCTTTTGTCTCTTTATTCCCCCGTCTTTCCTCGGAATCATAGAGTTGGAAGGGATCTCCAGGGCAGTGTTCCCTCTAAGCTGAGTTAGTGTGAGCTAGCTCACAGTTTTTTAGCCTCTGGCTCACACATTTTCGTCTTGGCTCAGGAAGGAGGGCTCCAGAGCAAAGTAATTGATGCAGTAGCCAAATCGCTCGCTCACAACTTTAATGCCAGTAGCTCACAAAGAAGAATTCTTGCTCACAAGACTCCATAGCTTAGAGGGAACATTGCTCCAGGGTCAGCTAGTCCAACCCCCTGCATGATGCAGGAAATCCACAAATACCTCCCCCCCACACACCCCTGGTGGTGACCCCTGTTCCACTCCCAGATGATGACCCCCCCCAAAAAAAACCCCTCCAGAATCTCCAGCCAAACTGGCCTGGAGAAAAATTGCTTCCTGACCCCAAAGTGGCAATCAGCCGTTTCCCTGGGTGTGTAAGAAAGGGCCACGAGAACTGAGCACTGAATCATGTTAACAGAGTGGACTGGTGCTGTGCCCTGGATTGCATCTCCCTTTCTTCAGCCAGGCTCACCTGAGTCCAGGCTCCTGCTGCTTGAATCACACTTGGTGTGTGGGGTGAGATGCCAGTGGGTGTGCTTGAATCAAGCTTACAGCCTGAGGATTCCTTGGCCTCCACTGTGCCCGTTCCGCTGACCCAGCAGCCCTCCACTGAGCTGTATGCTAGGTCTTGAGTTCAGATCACACCAGATTCCGCAAGTTCACCTGATAGCCTTGGGTGCAACCACTGTCCCTCAAGCTCAGTTCCCCCGTCCCCTATAATCAGGCCCGTAGCCAGGATTTTTTTAAAGTCAGGGGGCATTTAAATGTCTTAGGGGGCACTGGCTAATTGAATGAAAGGTAATTTGATTCAGTTTCTGGGGGAAATGGAGAGGTGCTGCCTGGCTCCATGGGGCCACCGTAGCTGGCCCTACATGCCAGACAGCTGTGCAGGAATACTCGACTCCTTCCCCGCACCTGCCACTGCTCAGGGGCCCCTGGCTGGATGGAAAGTCATGGGGCCCTGTCAGTAAGTTGGGGGGCCTAGCCCCGAAATGCCCCACTGTAGCTACAGGCCTGCCTATAATATTAGGACAGCAATACCAGAGTAAACGGAGGCAGTGAGTGACAGTGGTCTAGAAGGCCTGAGCTATGACTGGGAGGCCCCCACCTGACCTCAGAACAGCTGCTATTTCTCGGTCTTGCCTACCTTGCAGGGTGGTTCGTATGAATTAAAATTGCAGAGAACTCCATTCCATGCAGTCCTTGCAGGAATATTGGAATGAAAATGTAGCATAATTTATGGAGCAGCAAGAATAGCCCAGACTAGCTGGAGATTACCGAAGATTGGAAGCTAAACAGGGTCGGCACCAATGTTCCCTCTAAGCTGAGTTAGTGTGAGCTAGCTCACAGTTTTTTAGCCTCCAGCTCACAAATTTTTGTCTTGGCTCAGAAAGGATGGCTCCAAAGCAAACTGATTTATCAGTAACCAAATTGCTCGCTCACAACTTTAATGCCAGTAGCTCACAAAGTTGAATTTTTGCTCACAAGACTTCACAGCTTAGAGGGAACATTGGTCGGCACTGGTTAGTATTCGGTTAGTATTTGGTTAGTATTTGGTTAGTATTCGGTTAGTATTCGGTTAGTATTCGGATGGGAGGCCACCAAAGAAGACTACACAGAGGTAGTCCATGGGGAACCCCCTCTGCTCATCCCTGGCCTTGAAAACCCCTATGGCGTTGCCGTAAGTCGGCTGCGACTTGACGACATACATTTTTTATATCTTTTGGGCTCTGGTAAAGATTGCAGAGATCGTGCGCAGTTCTTTAAATGCTCGGAAGCCTGGTTGAAATGTGCTCCCATTACTGGCCGTCACCCTAGATCGCCACGCTTCCTTGCGGCCAAAGACAATAGGGAACCCTTAGCGTGCAGGTATAGCCACAAATAACACCCACCAAGGGAAGACCATCAGCAATTCACAACTATATATGATCAAAACTGTGTATTACATTAATTAAAGTACAAAGATGGGTTAGTGGTCATAACCCAATAGGATGTATAAGCACACACCCAAGAGATTGCTCATAACAATTAAGCATTATTTACAAAAAGGACGCGTTCAAAAACCAACAGTTGGCTCCTCTGTAATTCCGTACATAAATAGTGTCCATAGTCCTCCAAACAGAAAGTAAGTGTGGCAGAAGACGCCCACTGTGGAAAGAACAGCCATACGTCTCTCCCAAGTATAAATCAAGACGTTTCAGTGATCTTCAACAGCCGCTGGTAAAAGGGAACTTGATCTCCCAAATGACATAGGCACAGCTCAATAACTTCAATGGAATCCTAGGATTTATCCATTCTCTTGGGTTATGACCACTGACCCATCTTTGTACTTTAATGAATGCAATATACAGTTGTGATCATACATAGTTGTGAATTGTTGATCCTCTTCCCTTGGTGGGCATTATTTGTGGCTATGCTTCCTTACAGGGCTGAACAAGTCTGCCCATAACGGCCACGTTACACGGCCTGCAGAAACTGCATCATAGCGAACCACAGAGCGAAGCACACCCAGTGCTCACAGCCAGGTACACCTCGCCATGAGTCGCTGGCACACAGAAGGAAACTCCATGAAGGAAACTCCACGGACCTTTGAGTGGTCACCCCCTTAGGGGCACACTCCCACCTCTGGCTGCAGATGATTAACATTTGCCGGTGAGACCCTGGCGAATCCACGGTGGCCACTGACCACTCTTGGCTGGTTCCGGAAGCCTCGATTGGTCAGTGGGTGCACTCGGACTCGTAACTGCTTTGGCTGCGTTCCCAGCTCTTGCAGGCTTTTGGGCGGAGCGTAGAAGCTGAAGTTCTTTCCTTAGTTCCTTTCTGCTGTGGTGTTTGGGACCCCGAGGGCGGCTCACTCCGGCCGCTCCTCAGTGCTCAGGGGCGGCTTAAGAATTTAGGCTTGCAAGTATATCGGATAGGATATTTGCCCTTTTATGTTGGAGTAGAGGCCACAGCTGGGAGGGGTTTATTCCCTGCAAGAACCGTTGTGTAAGTTCCAGCTTTGAAGACTCTTGGTGCTCCAGCCAAAAGCGAGGAAGGCCTTTCCCGCTTTTGTTTATTTGAAGACCGGAAATAAGCTTACCTAAAGAAATACGAATGGCACACGGAGAAAAGCCAATCTCTACCGTGGTGCATTGACAGTGCACGTTTCTGTTCATGCCCTCGCCTGGATGGGCCCGGTCCAGCCCGACCTCATCCGATCTTGGAAGCTAAGCAGGGTCAACCCTGGTTAGTCCTTGGATGGGAGACCACCAGGGAAGTCCAGGGTTGCTCTGCCGAGGCAGGCAATGGCCAGCCACCTCTGAACGCCTTTTGCCTTGAAAGACCCTACACGGTCACCATGAGTTGGTTGCAGCTCGATGGCGCTTTCCACCACCTGCCCCATCCTTGATGGCCTGGGTTCTCCCAGCCTTGTCAGATCTCAGAAGCTAAGCAGGGTCGACCGTGGTTAGTACTTGGATGGGAGACCACTGAGGATGTCCAGAGTTGCTCCGCCTAGGCAGTAGAGATGTAAAATTTCCGGAAATTTGGAAGCTCGGAAAAACCCCCGAGTTTTTTCGGGGGGAAACGGAAATTTTCGGAAAAATTGAAAAAAATGCTACATTAGCATTTCTTTTGTCT